AACATAAGAATTGCAGACTCGGTTTGATTGAGTCTGTACATGAGGGATAATAAAAAGTGCAACATCCCTCACGCCCCTTAGCACTGGCTTGAGCGGTACTCAATGCTCAACACTTTATAGTGTTGGGAGAGCGGTACTAAATTCTCAACACTTTATAGTGTTTGAAAGTCTTTGTTCATACGGCCGTTGTCATGGAATCTTAAATGTGATATATTTATGTCGCTCTCCAGTCCCCTAGTGAAAAATTTTCCTGTCCTAAACTGGAAAACAGAAAACAATTAGGGAAACTAAAGATATTTGAATTTTGAAGAAGATCAGGGGTAATGACGACAAAAGACATAATTAAAAAGCAGGCAACAAATCTTAATTCTGATTAAACAGTTATCAAGTGAACATATTGAAACCGAACAAATAGACAATGGCCAAATCAGAAAGAACTAAAAGTAAAGAAACAAAACATGTACTCATAACAATAATGTCGTCATGAACGATTTTCAAGGATTGAAAATATAACATATTTGATTAAATATACCTCGTGTTAAATTTGCACACAAATACAATGTACATGTTTGGATTCTTACATTTTTAGATTTCTTCTTTGCATGACAAAATATGATAAACAAGATCAACAAGGAAATGCAGCGTTCAATGAACGCAACACCCACACGACCCAGCAACAAGAATCAACGGCAATGAGTCCAGGAGGACCCCAAACAAAAACAGGACAGGGCGCAAAGGAGAGCACGGCATCTGATTTGGCCATTGTCTCTGCATGACAAATCTGAAAAAATATATGAATCGTTTATTTTTCATTTATTTATTTATTTATTCAATTATTCATTCATTTATTCATTCATATATTTATTTATTTATTTATTAAACAATTTATTTAACTATTCATTTTTTATATTGTTTATCTCGATTTGTTATAACTTTTGATGTATAATAATGTGATGTATTTATATGTATTTGTATGCATGTTTGTTTTCGTGCTGGTTAAATGGTCAAACTTTATCATGAAGTGTGCTTTTCGGGATGCCATAAACAACAGCAGCTTTATTCAGTGATAACACCTTGTTTTTTACAAGGTTAGCAGTCTCTCCCAATGTTTCTTGGTCATACTTTCGTCTCTTTTGACTTCCAATCATTCGGCTCATCCTATAAAAAATACAGAGAAACTGATTTAAGGTTATATATGTTAGTTTAATTTAATTAACATATACTATATAGTATTGAAGATCAGGAATATTTGAAAACAAATTCAGTCAAAAAATGTTCGGAAATATTGGAATTGTTAAAAAATCAGAGGCTTATTCCGACTACTTCATCAAGCGCCTAAATCACATGTTTATATGAAAGCACCTTTGTGACCTTCATTTTGATTCATTTTATTTACACTGTCTTGTTTATAGGAACATGGTGGGGCTAAGAGCGAGGTTTGGTGCACCATTAACCGGTTTAAACTCCCCAGCAGTCATTATTATGCTGCTGACCGTTCCAAGGCGGCCCCCCACTATGTTCCTCAGATGTACGTCTATGTTGTTTCATACTGTTTTGGTGACACTTTTGCTTGTGTCCCTTGTTGTTTTCTCGTCTACGGTAAGTATCTTCCCCATTGCCTCTAGTTTTTATTTCTTTGATTACCCCCCCCCCTTCCCCCGGTCTCCTGTCCCCTTCCCCTTTGTGGGCCTATTATTATTTTCTTTGAATTCCTAATCAGTTACAAATTATTTATCATTTAATGATTAACGTGTCGTTGCCCTGTCCCTTTTATGTTTGGGGTCCACCTGGGCTCCTTGCCATTGGTTCTTGTTGCTGGATCATATGGGGGTTGCGTTCATTGAACGCCACCTTTCCTTGTTGATCTTGCTTTTCATATTTTTTAAAGAAACAAATTCAAATTCTTTTAAAATAAAGAAAGTTGTGATTTGGAAAAAATAAAGTTTTTGTAGTCTTAACCGATTTGCCCAAAATCTTACAAAATTCGACAATTGTCGTACCTTCTAGATAGTTTGACAGCGTCTTAGACTTTTTTGACAAAACCACGTCACCAACACGAAAAACCCGATAGGGTAATATCCGGAAAGCAATGATGTCACATTATATGACGTAAACTCAATGACGTGATGTAGAATTATCGCTTCAGATGAAATATAATATATTTTTCGGAATTAAACGCCCGTTCGGTAATACCCGACCCCGTTCTAAAGAATATCGTTCAGAACCAACATATAAACATAAGATAGTATGAACAAAGTTTCCATAAAATTCGATTTACCAGTTTTATTATCATTACAGTTTCGTGTTTTACTTCTGCCTTTCTTTATATAGAGGATATTTGTTTGTTTTGCATGTAAGATTGAAATATAATTTCACTGAGTGAACACCAGATGCAATATTTTCACGAGTGGCGTAGCCACGAGTGAAACTATAAAAGCTGGTATTCACGAATGTAATATATTTCAATCTTATATGTAAAACAAATAAATTTTCTTTTTATTTCATGCTTTTTAAGTGATTTTAAGTATTTTTTACTGATTTTGCCGCGTAACGCCGCGCATTCTCCTTTGTGACGTCATCACATCATGACGTCACATCACCAATTTTGAAATATAGTTCTGTTAGATTTCTCTAATTTTGTTACATTTTAAACATGATGTATGGTGAATCTACTTTCTTTTCCTAAAGAAGCAAAATTTACGTATGACGGCATTTATTTCTGCCTGTTATTCCATTTAGTTATGATTTTCTTTTCATCCGCATTCAAATATAGTCCGGCTACAGTGAAAATTATATTTTATAAATTTAACTAGTGGTTTATCAGAATATAATCATCTGATATATTACAATAAAACACTGGAAAGCATGAAATAAAACCCTGTCATTAATGGGATTTAATACACCTCAGTTCCTCTGTTAGTTAAAATGTATTCAGAAACGATGATAAATAGTATGGTTTAAATGATGCAATGGATATACATATTTCAGACCGGAACAAGACACATTTGTGCAACATTTCTGATCATTCGCTCATTACAGAAAAAAAACACCATTTCCTTGAAGAAATTGTCTCAAAGCCTAAAAGAGATTAAACGCAAAATGACCGCTACTTAAAAGTGCGGCTAATCGAATTCAGTCGCATCTCATGCAAGGGCAGTACAGACTCAAAGTGGTTTTAAAAGTGGATAAACATTTATAGTTAATCAGCCATTTCAAGAATTTATGAAGTGCAACTTTACTATTTAAAAAATAGAAATTCATTTTGTAAATGAAAGAAAGTATTTGATTAAAATCCAAACCTTAATCAAACAATTTAATAGAAGAACATGACTCCTCTGTTCTTGGAGTGTTCATATATATGATATACTCCTTAATTAGATGAAAATAAGTCCTTTAGAAGCAAAATAGTGATTACATAAGAATTGGGGAGTGCAAAAGAGTGATCGAGGAGGATTTATAGATACGCATTAGGCAAGGCGACAACAGAACGTTTATTTGTTCCCGCGCCTTTCGTTTTTCACTTAAAGCTAACTAGATTTATTTCATTAATTAGACACAAAAAAGGGTTATTTAGTACTTTTCAAGTTCAAGTTGCATCATGTTCCCACTCCTTTATCAATAATACACTTTCTTGACATTATGGAACGATGGTTAGGAAACTACCCGCCTATATGACTGAAATACTGTTGGGAAAAGGCGTAAAATTAAACAAACAAATGAGTAGACAAATGAATGCAATTGCATATTCTAAAGGTGTGTAGTAAGCAGTATGCCAGACAATTGTAGACATTAAAGCAGCATCATGAAAACATACATCCTGTTGACAGCATTTAGTTTTTGCAAATATAAAAAAAATCTTAAATATCGTGTCTGTATAATAAACAAACAAACAAGAAACATCCGACAAACAGAGGATGGCCGATCGCCAATGTTGTAAGAACTTGGGCCTTACCCTTTTGCTTTTTGTTATTTCGAAATCAATTTGTTTCTCTGTATAATTACATGTATATATTAGCAATAAAATATGATTAATCATCCGACAGACAAGAGGAATATTTTCTGTTCATTTTTATTGTAACACAGTATGATCCTTTTTGAATAATGAGCAATTCATTCATAGTTCAAGGCGTTTCAAAGTTAACAACAGTAAAGAACATGGTCAATATGATTAAAATCAGTTCTAAAGAACGCTCCGCTTTTAGATCTGATTATGACCAAATACAAAGTCATTTCTGGTGACCTTCAACACAGCCATTCATCGGCGAGCTTTCATAATTATGAAAGCAATGCGGTTTCTTATTTTAAGCCTTTGAAAACCATAACTGAGTTTGTAGTATTCACGATTTCTATAACAAACATGGTGTTGTCCATATAGCCGACAAAAAAAAAAAATGGCAAAACAATCTTGCCCATTTAAAATTACTATTATTTCAAGTTAATTCTTTAAAACTTACTTCTAACATTTTTTACTGCAAAAAAAATTGTTAATTTACCAAATATTTTGAATTTATTTCTGGGTTCATAATAGTACTGAAGGTGTATCTATAAACCCTAGAAAGATTTAAAAAATGTTTTTTTTTCTCAAAAAGTATTCATGGCGTCGTACAAAAGAAGGATGCCGTGTTTATTTGTCTTTCAACGATTCGATTTGTGTATTAAAGGTCCCATTGATTGACCATTTTACGTTTTGAATATTGCAAGATATAAGTACAATAAATCGAATGCACTTCTTATCGACGAAAAATACCGAATGGTTACCTGCTTATTTACCCATAAAGTTCCCCTTTAAACACACCTGTACGGAAAGGGACGGAAATATTTCCGGAAAGTGCTGATAGGCATTTTTCCCCGGCTGGCTGGGTGTGACGTCATTCCAAGTCCAAACAAAGGCCGACTACAGAGAAACGTATGACAGTGTGAGCGAATATTCGTCAGATAATGCTTTTTCTGAGAGTGAAGATAAAGAAATATAGACTTTACCTAACCAGTTTGAGCCAATTATGCGGCTTGACGAAGTAAATTCCAATAATCAGGCCGATGTGATCGAAAACGAAGAGTCGGAAAGATTGGGCAACACAAACTGGTATGAAATTGTAAAGCATTTCTTTTTCAATGTTTTGTTCAGTGGTGCAAATTCGAGTTTCTATACACCCAATGGAAAAAATATTGTAAAGTAATAAGTAATAAATTCAATTGTCATATTATATTTTTTTATATAGGAGATACAAGCAACCTGGGACATACGATAAGAACATACCCCACCCACTAAAGTCAATTTCGGCACTAGAATTTTTTTAAACATGAGACCATACTTATCGTAAACAACATAAGACGTTAATTTAAAAGTAACAAAATGGAAATAAAGTATTTGTTGAGTGTTTTTACGGAAATAAAACACGTCGACACATTTTCTTAAAAGGCATCACGGACTGAGGAGACCAGTCTGTATATATTTGATGAGTGAAAACTTGATGTATTTTAACCAAGAAAATGGGATTAACCTTATATACTGTTGCTTTAGACCCCGAGACTATTCAAGAATAAAAGTAGTTTACTAAGCTGATTTTTTCTTTTCTGGTACTATCATTTCAGGTGTGAATGTGAGAACTGTAGAGCATTGGATAATGACAGAGAATCTATCTGTTGTAATGAAATTGACAGTGTGAAACTAAAGATAGAGCAGTATAAGGAAGAAATGGCAACAGACCTTTCGTGTATAACCCGGTATCCTGGTTTCCAGTCAGTTTGTCTTGACAGGTATGTTCTGGAGACTGCCTACTACCAATACAGACAACAATATGTCAAGGTTGAGCATACAAACAATAAGTAAGTGTAATGACTTGATAAATAGAAAATTAATTTTATGTCAATAAGTTAAACTATTCAACTGATATGTTCTTTGTTTGTGCACTACATAAGTCTTGAAGGCATTTTCTTAGAGCTGATATGCTGGAATATAGTACTGTTCCTTTGAAATGTTGTAAAATTATTTTATATTTCACATAATTAATATAATTTACATTCGGGGAAATAAAATTCTTGAGATTTTGATCAGTTAGTTCAGGCACAGATACACATATAATATTTAGCTTCATGCTCATAAAGGGCTACACACTAAATTCAAAAGTTCAATTTGTAATATTAATGTTCAGCTATAATTTACTACAATATTGTAGTGACCACCAAAATTATAAAAAAGTATTTTCTTGTTGTTGTTGTTTCAGACGACAGAGATATGTTGCCTACAGGCAGTTCGCCAGGTGATGTTGGGGATACCTTGGAAAAAAAGTTGTGTTTTCCTCATGTGCAGTAAATCTTGCGAAAGAGAAACGTTAAAATGTCTTCCAACTTTATTCAGGACATGCAAACATAGATCTACTACAAGAGATTCTTTCCTTAAACAAACATAAAGACCTCAAAATGAATTCATATTGCTTTATCCTTTTTAACATTGTTTATTTTAGGTCAACACTTTAATCAAATAAGTTATGTGAGCGCATATTAGTGCTCAAATACATTTTACACTATTACAGCAATTTTGGTATAATTATAAACTTTGTTTTTGAACCACTCTCAGATTTAATTATGTTTACATTTTCAACACTTCAGTATTCATCAAAAGTGCTTTGATGGGAAATAGAGACTTGTTTTTGTCTGTGAAATCTCATTTGTGTATATTCTGATTGTTGATTTGGACAACATACAGGTAAAGCTGTTATAAAACTAGGTTTGTGTTACCATCGGTGGTATCCGGTTTAATTTGAACAAAAATAGTTAAATATTACATGGAATACATGTTTCTATGTATAATTTTTGACAAATCATGTTCATGGTATTAGCAAACACAAACAACAGCAAATTAGTTAGTACGTTAAGGAATTTGAAATTAAAAACATAACAACAAAAGCACCATCACCAGCAACAACAACAACAGCAGCAGCACTACAACATCAATAGCAGCAACAATACCCATATATTTGTCTAAATAGTACATAATAAGGAAAATACATGTTTTAATCTCACATGACTTTTATATCTTAGAATTTAAGTGCATTTTAATTTGTTACTCTTTTCTTTACTTTCAATCACATTATACATATAGGGTAATGAATAAGTTATGTCAAGGCAAAAGATGTTCTAGCCTTAAATTGTTTATCGGTAGGAGTTTACTATAGTGTATACATCAGCAGAAAAATGGTATCAAACCCATTTAAAAAAAGCAGTTTGTTCAGGAGTGTTCCCTATAGGAATTGACCATATATCATAATCGTATGCATTCAAATCTGATAGCATTCATGTATGTAAGTTCTTTCCTAAATATTTTCTTTGGAATATTCTTTTAAACCTCTCCAAAAAACTGCGTGTTTGGAAGAGGTGTTCAATAAATTCAATGTCTGTTGCACACAAATCAGAAAGTCTCTAGGAAGAAAAGTTTTGTTTTTGTATGTAACAGTTATTCTTTGTAGATTTTTATAATGAACACTACTAAACTTAGTGTCTATCATTGTTGTTAGAATTTTGTGGTATATATTTTTCCCACATATATTTTCGTGTTTTATGAAATCTCAGACTTATTATCTGCAGTCTTTTATAATATTATCTTGTTTAAACCGATTTTCATATCAAAATGTTATTTGTCACATTCGTTTTAATAAATGACACTTTTTTATTTTTGTTTGGGTTGTTTTCATTGATATTGTCTAGATGGATACATGAAATTACATCAGGATATATATATAAATTTTAATGTCAGATATTTCAGTTAATTTGCATCGGGGATTTCATAGAAATAATTCAAAGTTTCAAATGAAGAATGTTTTATGAGAGATTTTGTACGGTTTGGTAGAATACAAATATGCATCGTAATTAATATTCAAATCTCAGTTATAAATGTTGGGGTCATTGAACCGCGTAAGGTCCGGAAAATAAACGTTGGTTTCTATCTCTTTTTTCATTTATCATTAAATCAAATGTCATTATGCCAATCCAAAAGTACGTTGTCAGTGTACATGTAAAAGTCAACAATTTGTTTTCATTTTAATTTATAAAATACTTTGAAAGAATAATCAATAACATTCGTGACCCAGGGGCATTTTTATAACTATGATTTCTATTTCATTGGTAACGTTAACTGTACTGAAACAAAAAAGAAACTTTCTCCAAGTTTGAATGTAGATATGTTAGTACAGTCAATCCTTTTGAAACTCGATTTTTACGTTGAATAAACATATCAGGCTTTTATACCGGGATTAGCTGATCGATTTTGCAAACAAAACGAGTTTTTAAGTGTGTACATCTAAGTGGTACCCTTGAACAACTGGCACATACTTTGCGAAAGTTTCTTTTTTAGTTCAGTATAGATAAAAAGAGCTGGTCAGTCTTCATATTCTATCGTATGTCAATTACATATATAATTGTCAATCTTCTGAAGCTACAGTCTCACTTACATCCCGGCAGAGCCCCGGCAGAGCCCCGGTAGACGTCCGGGGTGATCCGGGAACGACCGGGGTACGACCGGGAACAACCGGGGTACATCCGTAACTCTGCCGGCAACGTCCTGGATGATCCGGGATGATCCGGGAACATCCGGCATTCGACCCCGGATGGAATAAAATATTTAATATCACCGGGGTGGTCCGGGATGATCCGGGAAGGTATAGCTTTGCCGGCTTCATCCTTAGCTCTGCCGGGAACGACCGGGGTTATACCGGGAAAGCACCGTAGCTCTGCCGGCACAAACCGGGGATGATCCGGGGTATGATATAGCCGGTAGAGCTACGGTAGAGCTACGGTAGAGCCCCGGTATATGCCGGCAGAGCCCCGGTAACTACAGGCAGAGCCCCGGAGGATAAAGGTAGAGCTACGGTTGATCCCGGTAGAGCCCCGGCAAAGCCCGGATCATTTCAAAAGAATAAGGACAATTTGCGATCATTGAACTTGTTTGTATTAAAAGCCTTCCCATTTCCCTTCTATCAAGTATGGCATAAGGATTTTTCAGAAAATCATCATGAATTACTATTCTGGAACAATAGATTTTATATTAAATAAAAATTATGTATCAAAGTTATCATTTTCGGGCGTTTTCAATCCACCGGGGTTCTACCGGGGCTCTGCATGGATCGTCCTGGGCTCTGCCGGGGCTCTGCCTGGATCGACCGGGGCTCTGCCTGGGTCAACCGGGGCTCTTCCGGCGTCATCCGGGAACGACCGGGGAAGCACCGGCATGAACCGTAGCTTCACCTGGGCTCTGCCTGGATGATCCGGAGCGCATCCTGGGTGGTTAGTAGGGAACTACCGTAGTGCTGCCGGGGTAAGTGTGACCGCAACAATAATTTCATCCCGGATCGTCCCGGATCATCCCGGTAACTTACCGGGATGGTCCTGGGCTCTGCCGGGAGTAAGTGAGACCGAGGCTTTATTGTAAATTTAGTTCAATTTGACAGAGAAAAGAAATGAGCATGTTAATGACAAAAAGTAATATGATTCAAAGAGTGTATTAACGTCGGTCGGCAATTTGAATTGTCTAGAGATATTGACAAAGTTTTCACTTGTAAGTTCAAATATAAAACTCGAAAATATATTTAATTGATTTTGTTAGAAAAATAAAGAATTTTTTATTAAGAATATTTTTCTGCTTTAAGTTGTTCCTTAATAACGATCAATAGTATTCTTCTTAATGCAAGTTTGATTGAAACAGATTGTCTTGTGCCACAGGAAACAATAATTATATTTATTTACAAGTTTTTAGTTCAGTTCAGATAGCACCTGTTCATTGTGATTACAGCATTCTAGTTGTTACTAAAAATATTTAAAAAAACACACCAAAAGCTAAGGTCTATATCCTTTCTGATTTGCCTCATTGATGGAACAAAGAGCAAATATATTTTAATTTGAAGGAATTTATCAGTTTGCTTTAAACGTGCCAACCCATTTGCAAAACAGACATTCCTAATGACAAAACAAATCATGAGATTATAATGTAGATTTAAAAGTTTTATGTGAAAATAATAACAGCTTGGTACATCTACATATTATTCATGATAAAATATTTTTATGACAAAAAAAGGAAATTTGGCAGTCATTGTTCGGAATATCATAAAGAAACAAAGATGTTCTAAATATGTGTATTTTGTCCTTGACATCTCAACAAGTTAGCGAGTTTTTGACTGTATTTATTTCTACAATAGAGTTCTGCATTGGACGTCACATATTGATATAATACACAAACTTGGAAAGACGAATTCTATATACTCCAATCTTTTGAATGCATTGCTATTAGATGAGATGTTTATTTCGCTTTAAACTGACAACAAGTTATTATTCTAAAATAAATAGATAAATCCATAAGCATTTTTATAAACGGGCACGTTTGATAATTTCAAAGCCAATAAACTTGCAAGCCTTTACAGTACTATTCCGTAAATAAAGCGACCTATTTACTTTATTTAAGAATTCATTTATATAATTTATAGCAACAAACTATTCAGATCCTTCTTTATATGATGGAATTTAATCATTCTACCTTTTCTCCGACGTATCTACGCCAAAGGACTATCTCTTAAGAAACACTGTATATTATTTAACTGTTTTCACTTCAAGTATTTGAAATATTTTAAATTATTGCATCAAAAATGTATGTAATTACCAGTTACAGGTGTTTGAAATTGTAAGCTATTGAACGAAAAGAAACATGTTATAGTTTGGCAAACAATTTAAACTGATTCATTCTAATTTGCGCAGTCATTAATAGCATTGATTGTTTAACAGGAACACCCAAAAACATTGAATGCTTCACATTCTTTAAAATGTTAAGCGGAAATTATTTCACCAAATAACCCTTTGTTATTTTCATATAGTACTCTAAAATGTTTTAAATAGACAAGAGAATAATTTCATGTACTATGACATGTCCAAACAAACGTTTTCTACGATCAATGAAAAATGAATTATCAATCATTGGAAAAGATTGAAGTAAAAAGTAATCAAAGAAATATCAGTTTTAATGACTGAACACTTTGTTTCAAGCATGAAGGCATGGAAAAACCATCTTGCTAATAATTTCAGTATTGTCTGGATATACCCACGGCGTTTATCAATATTATTATTTTTCCATATAATATCTAAGTTTAATAACATTCATGGAAACGTGAAAGGTCATTTGCTACTTTAATTGTCTCATAAATGAACTTTTTATACACATAGCCCTGGCTAGTCATATATTTTTACCGTAAAAGCAGACATTTGGTTATATAAGATTAAGTGTG